ACCACTAGTTTAAGCAAGTGCTGGGAAGAGAAGTGGATTTTCAAAAACAGATAAGCAAGGATAATTTTGTATTTAGTTGAAAAAAGAAGAAGATAGATTTGGATAATCATATGACATTTAGAAAGCTAATTTAAACTATCCTCCTTTCACTTCCTATTAACATGGCTACATTTTGAAGAAAGATTCAGTGCCTTCATGGACTGTACTCTCCAAGTATTATATATTATAGCTATCATTATAATTTCAATGCTTTGATTTTACAAATTGCAACATGTTTCCTTCCAAATTTTGTTAGGATTTAGTCAACAGAAGAATACATGTATACAAAAATGATGTCTGTGCTACTTATGAAGTACTTATGAAGAAATAATTCATAGTCACAGGATGATAAGGGTAAACCAGGGGTTCTAGGGCACTCTAACTATGAAGGATCCATCTTAGCTGAAAAAAATCCTACGGAGGGAACAAAAAGTTACTTTAGAGCTCCACCAAATATTTTTTAATCAAGTAATTTCTTTTCATGCACAAGAAGATATTCTCTCTCCTCTCTCTCTCTCTCTCTCTCTCTCTCTCTCCACTCCCCCCCCCCCGTGTGTGTGTGTGTGTGTGTGTGTGTGTGTGTGTGTGTGTTTCTCCTAGTCCTTTTCTGACCCTTATTTTCTTGTATTGCTCACCAAGGATCTCTGATGTGATACTAGAAGCTATATCTAGGGCTATCAAATCCTGGTACTATATATATATATTTTAAAAATGTTTGTATTTCAGATGATGAAGTTGCAGGTCATCGAGCTTTCATCATTGAAAAAAATCATCATCAAGAGTGGTTGACCCTTCACTCAGATTTTACTCAGGCTCTCTTAATTAGGTGAGGCAGATAGAAAAATTAAGGATGTGATTATCTCTCATCATCTGATCAGAGAGCCCTGTACTTTACTTCATAAAGTGGGACTTCCTTCTGAGTGCAAGTTAAGGATCTCTATGCTCCTGAAACTTATGACTTATTTTATTGTTGGAACTATGCTCTTGTGAGATCAAGCATTGTCATAAATCACATGAAAAAATAAATTGAGAAACTTCTCTACTGCATGATAGCTTATAGTTAAAGAAAAAATTGAAGAACACTAACCTTACATCTCCAGCTGTGAGCTTTTTACTTTAGGACTCTGAGCATTTTATGATCCTTTATCCTCAGAATCCCAGATTTTATAAATGGGACTTGTGAATCTCCTGTCAATTCATCCAACTTGTTAATTTACTACATGTTCTAAGGCATTTTAACCACAGATGATGCAAAAAAACAACAACCAACCAACCAACAAACAAAAAAAACCACACCAAAAACCCCCCAAAACAACAACAACAACAACAACAACAACAACAACAACTATTCATCTATTTCCACCATTTCCCTGATATTTCTGACCAGGTTCACCACTGGTTCCCTTGATCTTACTGGAACTATGATAGAATAAATAGCTGCCACATGCCCTGAACAAAAGGGATGGGCTCCTGTGATTTGGAGATTCAGAAAGGTTCACGTGCCACCCTTTTGACCTGTGAGTATGTGTCCTCTTAGTGCTCACATCATGCAAGGAAACTCTACTCTCTGGGATGCTGGCTGTAACTGCCATGAGGTGGATTTGCAAGGCACCCCCTACCTCCCAAGAGGCAGTCTGTTTCTTCCCAGTTGCTAGGTCTCCAAATCTACAGTGAAGAGGACTGTGGTGGTGGTTACACCAATAGAGGACCAGAAGTTCCCGCAGAGGTAATGAGGTTTCATTGCAGGGGCCAACAGTGCAGTATGAGAAAGCTCCGGAGGTGCATTTGTGCTTATGAGAGAGAGACTATGGAAATGGATTAATGATGTTTACTGAGGGCAACGAGTTGAGGAGTGGCTGCAGACTTGCCTCTTATTTGCCATTTCTAGGTTAGGTTCTTCCCCTGGTTTAAAACATGACTACCTCAAATCTAGAGCTCTAATTTTATGTAACTGCAATAGTTTATCACCCAAACATCCTCCTTCAAAATTCAAGGTGAAAGTGGGAACTACTTTGTATTAAATGTTGATGATTTCTAATTACTTCATTACTTTTTTGGGGGCAATGTACAGCTTGGCTTTGCTGACAGAAATAGTTTTTAACAGATTGCATGAAAAGAGGTAATCTCTTCATTTACCCCTAGAGGTAAATTGAACGTAAGTTTGAATAGAGAGAATTAGGGTTTAATGCCTAGCAGGCCTGGCTCAGTGGTTGAGCATCGAACTATTGACCAAGAGGTCACAGTTTAAATTCTGGTCAGGACACATGCCCAGGGCTCAAGCTCCATCACCAGTGGGGGATGTGCAAGAGGCAGCCAATCAATGATTCTCTCTCATTCTTGATGTTTCTATCTCTCCCCCTCTCCCTTCCCCTCTGAAGTCAATAAAAAATATTTTTTAAAAAAGAATTATGGCTTAAAAAGGCAATGTAAGAGAGAAAGAATCTTGCCTTATTTGGGGAACTATTTAGAAAACAGAGAATGCAATGGAATCTTGTAAATAGCAAAATAAGTCAACCAGCTGAGGGATGGGGGCTGTGGAGGGGATGAAAATCCTCAATGACATATTTAGCCAGGGCTGCTCCACTGGCTGAGACAAAGCTGAGGAAGAAGAATGTGGCTGGGAACGTTGGCTCCCCAAGCAGTGATTTAGATTTAGAGTGAAAATTAGAAGGATTAAGACGGAAGTCTCATCCCTGGGAAGTGTGCTCAGATCTAACTTGTTTTTCCTTGTGTTGAACCCCTCACTGGAGGAAGTCCCTGTGCTGAACACTCATAGATCCCCTTACTACTCCCCCTTGGCATTTACTCAGGATCTTGGGTACATATTTGTTGATGAATGTCCATCTCTCTCACTAGACTGTAACCTTCAAGAAGGAAGGGCTCATGGTATCGTCTTGTACACCAGCCTAGTTTCCATGGACAGTGCCTGACAAATAGTAGTGGCCAATAAATACTTATATTTAAAATGTTTTATATTTATTGGACAAGCAATTGGATATTTCAAGTATAGCCACCAAGAGAGCCACCACGAATAGGCTGTTTCCATGGCTGGCTCAGAAGCCAATGGCTGAGGTCTCTGGAAGGACAACTCCACGTTGTTGCCAGTGAATGACGTGTCAATGGTTTCTTCTTTCCTTTTCCTTTGTATTTTATTTCCTTGCTAAATCCTTTACATTATACAGTCTCCCAACAGCTCATCAAGCCCTGTCCTCAGCCATGCACTCACTGCCTCCATCATTCTCTCCACCACCTTTAATGAGCACCTTCCAGCTGTAAATCTGGGCCTTAGCTGTGCCCACCACCTCTTGTGGCTTAACTCACCCAGTTACTCGTTTCAAATGTTTCAAACACAGACCATCCAGGCTTTAAGACATTTCACAAAAGAAACAGAGGAAATCATGTTTCTCCACTGCTTTACCTTGTTTCATCTCTGCAGCTTTGACACTGTTGTGCACTTCTACCTTTTTAAAACTCTTGGATGCTAGATCATCATGCTCTAGGTTCCTTTCCTACTTATCCAGCCATTTCTTCTCTCCCATCCCTTCCCCTTTCATTCCTTAAATATCGATGTTTCCCAAATGACTTCTGTGTCTTCCTTCCACACTTGCTCCCAATGATTTCTCTGGTTGTCTTGCTTTCAGCTACAATATAAGTGTTCATGATTATCAGATCCTGTCCTGAGCTCTACTACTATCCCAGACCCCCGGTTTCATCTATCCAGTGCCTGCTCTTATGAATTTCTATTCATATTTTGCTATAGTTTCCAAAATGGTGTGTTTGCAACGAATGCTTCACCACTTCAGTTCAACTTCCTTCTGTTACCTGTTTTTTTTTTTTTTTTTTTTTTTTTTTAAATAAAACTGAGAGTGCCAACTTTCTCTTCAACACCTCCTATGGATTCCCAGGTCTGCAGGGTAAATCCTCATCACCATCATCATGACTATATGAGTGTCTGCTGTGTGCTTAGCAGTGTTCTAATTGTTATATTGTGGGGAGCCGGCAAGGCCATGGCATCCTCAGCCCCCGGGCGCCTTATGTGCTGTGCCAGCTCAGTCAGGTTCAGCGAACCCCAGTGGGGATGGTAAAGGATTGAGAAAAGTCAGATAAGAAAATGAAAGCTGGGACTCGGTGGGATGCTGCTTCCCTGATGGGAACCCAGCAGCGCCACGGGCTACAAGCTGTGTCTTTATTTTATAGCCAGATGCCACGAGGCAAAGTAAGGGCGTGGTCAACGATGTTTACAACATTCTTGTGGGTTTCGTTCCTACTCAACTACACGCAGCTGACCAAGCTTTGTTTACCAGCAGCCTCTATGATTCAGGCACGTGGGGCCGTGTGTTCAGACCACAGGTTCAAGCTTGCAATGACAGCTGTTGGCTATCATTGTGCTGGGAGGGTTTTGCCCTCGAGGCTGGGACTTGCATGTGGCCACGAGAGGACTGTGCCCTCTCATCAGTCCAAGGCTTGAACCTGTCCAAACACTGTAGCCGCACTCCATATTTCATATACAACATGTAATTCTCATACCACACTGTGAGGTAGGTACTGGTTATCACCATTTTACAGATGATATGCACTGTGTTCAAGATCATGCAGAAACAGAGCCCATCCTTCTCAGCTGGATTACAAAGCCCTTTTCACAACCGCTCTCAGCTTCCTTCTAGTCTACAATTGCATGAATCCGTTCTTTCCCTTCTTTCTCAACAACACTCCTTTCACATTCCCTTGCCTTTGTGCCTGCTGTTCCCACTGACTAGAATGTTTGTTAACTCATCATTTACCTGGTTAAGTTTTACACGTTTTATATTACAGAACCATTTAGCTCTCACCCACATCTGCTAAAAAGAAAAAGAAAAGCTAACTTGCTTCAGAAGAATTGATATATTAGTGAAATTAAAAATTACTTTCCATTGATTGAAACCAAACAGGGGGACGGTGGTGAGGAGAGGCGGGACCTTTACCTGCTGGCCGGGCTTGATGGGCGAGAGCGTGATGCCCTGGGTGTTGATGACGGGCAGGATCTGGTTCCCAATGACTGTGGCGATGATCTGGCCCTGTGCGTTGGTCAGGAGCTGCGGGGTGATGGACTGCACTTGGAGGCCCTGAGTGCCACTCGCCGCCTGGCTCGATGGCCCCGCGTTTGGCATCAGAGGGATGGTCCCGATTATCTGCAAGAGACAGGCCCGGAGGTGAGGCGCTGGCTCTGACCTGCGTTTAGTATACCTGCACCAGAGACCGCTCCTCCCCGGTCTCCGTAGGAGGTTCCGCTTAGGATCTGTGAACAGATCTGGGGACCGGGAGATGCAAGCAGGGGAGAAAGTGGGAGGAATGAGCATCCGAAGGACAGGAAGGCACACTGTGGACTGAAGGGGAAACATCTTATTCAAAAACAAAATCAAGCACCGGATATGACAGAGATATGTGACTGCTGCCAGGGCATCACAGATGTCTGCTTTGTCTCAGCATCAGCGGGCACTCACGGCCTTCATCCCGCTGGGAGCCCGCAGCCCTCGCCTGCAGTGTCTCTGCAGACATGATGTCCCTTCCTCCTTTTCTCTCCTCAGTTCCCCTCTGCTCACTCCCTCTTCTTCTCCTCCCCTTCATCACATCCTGTGCCTCTCTAAATCAGGGTCAGCTCCCTGACCCCCAGCAGGATGGGGAGCCTCAGCACCCTGGTGCTCACGGTCGAGAGGCCAAGTTTTGGAGTCAGGGGGTGGGGGGGATTGGGCTTCCAGAGCTCCCCACTAGCTCTGTCACATTGGTCGCAGAGCCTAAGCTATCTGAGGCTTGAGAGAACTGGGATCATCAAGGTGAAATGACTACTGAGGGCTGAGATGGGGAAAAAAAGGTGCCTTTTAAACTGGGATCTGAAGGTTAGAGGTCCAGGCCTCTGTGGCAAGTGGCAGGGAAGACCCTCTTCCCATTTGCTAGCCACTGGCTTCCAAGGTGTGATCCTATGGAGCGCCACACGCGGGGTCTTACGGGATCCCGTTACTGCGCCAAGGGGAAAGGGAGCATGAGTGGAGGCAGCAAGCCTGTAGGGCCGTGGTCGCCAAACTGCGGCTTGCGGCTCTTTGGCCCCTTGAGTGTGGCTCTTCCACAAAATACCACAGCCCGGGCGAGTCTGTTTTGAAGAAGTGGCATTAGAAGAAGTTTAAGTTTAAAAAATTTGGCTCTCAAAAGAAATTTCAATCGTTGTCCTGTTGATATTGGGCTCTGTGGACTAATGAGTTTGCCGACCACTGGTGTAGAGTGTCTGCGAGATCTAGATCCATTCAGACATTGGCAGAGATAAATCAACTCCGCAGAAAACAGAGGGCTGATCTGTGTTTCCAATGTCTGACCGTCCTGGAGGAGTTTTGGAGCCTGGGGCTGGAGGCTTTGCCCTCCACACTTCTCAGGCTGGTTAAGCAGCGCTGCTCTGCTGGTCATCTTCCATGGCCACGTCCCAGACTAGCGCTGTGGCCACGTGGCCTGGGGATCACCATCAAGACATATTACCAATGCTTTCCCGTTGAAATGGTTTCATTTCAACCCACATTCTTACAACAGGGGTGGCTCTGCTGTGACTTGATGGAGGACTTTGTAAGTGATGCAGCTGGAGCTGGAGTCCAGGTCTGTCTGACCCCCAAATGCTTGCTTTTCCATAATGTCATCTGGCCCCCACCACAGGGAGAATACTTTAAAAAGACACTGCATTTGTCCTGGCTCAGTTAGTTGGGCATTGTCCGGTACACCAAAAGGTCACCCTTTCAATTCCCAGTCAGGGCACACGCCCGGGTTTCAGGCTCCATCCCCAGTAGGGGGCCTGCAGGAAGCACCCAATGGATGCTCCATTCTCACATCGATGTTTCTCTCTATCTCCCTCTCTCTAAAAAAAAAAAAAAAAAAAAAAAAAAAAAAAAAAAAAAATCAATAAAAATAGTTTAAAAAAAATATCCTGTACCTTCATCCCTTATAGCCATCTTTACCTGTAAAATCTTAAAAAAAAAAAAAAAAAAAAAGACACTACATTCTTCCTGCCATTTCCCACCAGACAATAAGCTGCTCGGGGACTGAGTTTACATATAAATGATACTGTTTTCCACCCCCACGCTGCCCCAAACAGGCTTTTAAACACAGCCTCTCAATAAGTGTCTTTCAAATAAATGGCTTCCAGACTCTGTTGTCACTGGATTCAAGGTGAAGCTTCAGCTCTGCAGAAGAACTATGAGACTACACATCCAGTGACAAAGATTAGGACTGCAAATTGCCCCCTCATTTGGCCATTGCCTCCACCACAAAAGCCTTATGGGAGAGCACAAATGGAGGAGCTGTGTGAATATCAAGTATCAATGGCAGTTGTCAATGGACGCGATAAAGATCGAGGAATTACTGTGAGAGTGGTCAGCAGGCCCGCAGGGAGTTTGCAGGCCCTCAGCCTCACGGACTGAGCCTGTGATGTCTATCCCACAGAAGCAGCAACGAGCATGTCCCATCAGTGCAGGCAAGGTCAGGAGAAGTCCACATCGATAGGTCAGAGCACGTAAGTACTTTATTGATGAGTGGTCTTGCATTAAGCAGCTGAGTATCCAAAGGCTGTTCCTGTGACCCCACAGGCAATGGGAAGAGGCCTGCGGAGCCCTCTTCCTGCGCCCACACTGTATACATCACCGCTGCACACTTGCCCCGTGGACTGTGCCGCCCCCCTCTGCATACTTGCCCCATGAACTGTGCCATCCCCCTCTGCACACCTGCACTGTGAACTGTGCCATCCTCCTCTCCTCAATGCGCTGTGGAACTCAATAGCTGACCCATCAACTCTGGCTTCCCCATGTCATAAGCCTGAGGAGCCCTACTCTGTCTGACTGGACTGAATGGAAAGCTGGGCTCATTCAGGTGGCAGGGTGCGTGTCCTATGTTAGGCAGGATGCCAGTGCATTTAGGGAGCTATGTGAGTGAGGAGCCTGGGTGAAGGCTTCGGGGTGAGGCACAGCACCTGACAACTATCATACATACTGTGATGCAGAGGCAGGTGTTCTGCTTCTGGAAGATTGACACGACTCTGTGCTTTCTTTGTGTAATGAGACGCTCTGCCTGCTTTCTGAGTGGAGAGAAGGAGAAAGGCAAATGCAAACGACTCACCAGCTCCTTCCCTATGTGCAACCTCGCTTCCACACACGGCGCGGGGACATTACTAAAACATGGCACTGCTTAGTTCTTTCCTCCCCTGCTCCCCTCTTCTTTCTTTGCCCCCTAGCACCACTTCCTGAGGGTAGGACAGCACTAGTGTCAGAGCCAGAGGGATCTGGAATGGCATGACTGAAGGAAGCCTTTAATAAAGAGAGTTTGCCTTCAAGGTGGGGGCAGGGGTAGGGGCCATTCTAGTCAGAAAGCTTCTGTGAAGTCAAGAATTTCTCATTCTTGAGGGCCTTTTGGGGGAGCTGGGATCACTCTCTCAGCATGTCAGAAACTCAGCAGGGCACGCTGATGACTTTCCTAGTACTCCGCAATGTATTACAACAAGCTGCTTTTAATTGGCTCCCATTAATCCAAGAGTAGAGATGACTCCACATTGTGTTGCCCTAAACATTGATGGATGTGCTTATTTCACTTAGGCTGGTTCCTACCCATCCCTTGACACTTCCACAGGTGTCCCCAAAGCTCCTCCTCAGACTCTGATTTCAAAGATCAAAGAAGGAAATGAGAGGAACCGAGGCAGCCAAGGCGTGAGGCTGTTGGGACTCCTGACTAGTTGGCAATTTTACCTGTGGAAATTGTATTTTAAATGAAAGGCCTTTGCTATTCAAGGGAAGTATTTGCATCTACACATATTTCAACTATGTCAGGAAATTAAAACTGAATTTTGATATTAGGGAAATTCTGACTTGAGGGCGAAGATAGAAAGAGGATGCTTTGAAACACATGTAGTTCTGGAAGTAACTTTTAGAGTTTGAGTTATTCACTCCCAGAGCTAAGGATTTACTGATAAGAGAAATCAGTGGAAAGACGCGTCACTGAGCAAACACAGATGCTAGGTTAGGGCTCCCACTCAAGGCATCCACTTCCCAAGACAAATTGCAGCTCTGTTTAGATGCTGACGACGCAGGTAGAGCCACCTAGTACCTGCAGACCATTCTCTATGTAAGGCATGATGATGTCATGTGCCATGGAGGACACCAGAAGATGCTAATGGGGCAGGGGAAGGGGAGATAAGACAGGTACATGGCATGCAAAGATTCTATGCTCCACAGGAGAGTCAAGGACTATTCCCCAAGAATCTTTGTACCCATGTGGTGGATGATCAAAAGAATACTGAGAATGAGTGAGTGATTTCAGAGAAAGAAAGGCGGGAATGGGTGGGAAAGATTTCACAGAAGAAATGGGGGCAGACAGTGGCTTGGAGATTGAATGAGATAGGGAAAGGCAGACAAAACAATTCCAACCAAGCTCTAGCCTGAAGGTGAAAAACATGGATGGATACCAGTGAGGGTAGAGAAAGTAGAGCAATGACAGGTTAGTCAAATTTCATCTGGCAAGGGGTTTCAATGAATGGTTTTTGAGGAAATGAGGAGGAGTGCCGAAATGGAGCTATTTCAGATGTGAATGTGACAGTGTGGATGGAATGGACTGAAGTGGCAGGAGACTACAAACCAGGAGCTCAGTCACTAGGATGCTATTGTAGTCGTCCAGCTGTGAAGCAAATGCCTCAATGAATCCTCGACATAGGGGTTGCTTGATTGGTTCACTTCCACTTCAATTCAAAAGCACGGCCTACTTTATGCCTGGGTTGCAACATTAGAAATTTTTGAGTGGGGTTATTGCCCCATCACTCCCACAGCAAATAGCTAAGGCATCGTTTGCAATGATCCTATATGTCTTTGCCCTGACTCCAACAGCAATGATTCATCTCTGATGAATGCTTTAACCAGGCCAAGGCCCACACTGGTATTGTGATGATAATTTGTGACTTAAAGGAGTTCTGGCCTCTCTGACAGGAGACTTACTTGATTGTTGCTATTCATGTTCACCTGTCTATTTCCTCGGATGAGTTAAGAGCATGAAACACCACTGAGAATAATGTCCGTGTTGCAAGAGCAACTAAAAAAAAAAAAATCATTAAAATGACTATTAGTGGTCATTAACACATGTATCCATATTTCCCTAAGAGTTTGGGTGGCTTACACAT